TAATCTGCTGCACTTGGATCCTTGGTGCCTCTGTATGTCTATAAAGTCATCGGGTAGATTTCAATGGTAATGTTTTTTATTGTTCAGAATGTTTTCGCTATTAAGAGTGCTTCATGCTTCCATATGAATTTTGTGATTGTTTTTTAAAATTCTGTGAAGAATTATCCTGGAATTTTGATAGGGATTGCTTTGAACGTGTAGACTGCTTTTGGTAGGATGACCCTTTCTGTAATATTATCCTACCAATCCATTTGCATGGGAGGGCTCTGCATTTTCTGGTGTAGAATCTCAGATGAAATGCAATAGTAAGAAGAATGGATAAGTGAAAGAAAGAGGAGAAAGAATGAAAAAGAAAGAATGCACAAAACACTAAAAGGCATGAACAGTAGGCGGCAGTGTTGGCCTGTTATGTTGACTCGCTGTAGCATATGGATAACGAAATACCTGTGGTTGAATGGGAGGAGAGCTGGGTGGAAATGGAGGATAATGAAATCACTGGCAGGTGAGGAATGACTGTTGTGGAGAAAAAGAGCAGGATGGAGAGACAGGAAATGAGACTGCTGGCCTGAAGGGTGTTTTCCTCTCCTTGGGGATCCCCTGCTTTGCCACCCTGGTCCTGGGCCATGATGAGTTTTAAAAGTACCATACTTCTCTTGTGGACCTCCAGCTCCCCTTGTATGTGAAGTTTTCTTGAATTGTGCAGGCTGTGGACTAGCCAAGGTAAATTCTATCCAGCTCGTTCCCACAGGGTCTGCAGTGGTAGTGGCTCTGTGGTGCCCAAAGCTGCATGCAGAGCGTGGGCTTCACTCCCACAGCTTTGCCTTTCCATGTTGAGGTGTTGATGGTGGTACTGAAGGCAGTCACTGGGAACCCCTTCTGTAAAATCCCTACCAGTGCAGCTCTCAATAACTGATTTTTTATAGCACGTTTCAGGAAGGAGAATGGATACTTGATCACCTGGTAAGCCCATTTCATTTTTATTAGAAAAGAAATTAAATTGCATATCTATCATCAACTTCTCTTGACAAAAGTGCTGAAGTGGTAATGTATTAAGTGTCCTTTCTCATGAATTTTACTAGTAATTTCAATAATAATAACCTTTAACTTAATAGTTAAAAAATTGCCAAACTGTAGGACAGCATAGTATTTTTATAGACATCTTCAGGCAGCTACTTTCTATTTGTTTCATGGAGTATGATATATGCATTTGTATGATTAATCAACTCATATTCAAGGGTGTGTGTTTGAGACTGTCTGCCGATGAAGTCCAGGATGTCCTCCGGCCTTAGTCTCACAAGTGATGTGTTACAGGCACACAGCAGCTTGCCCAGATGCACCTATGTTCTGTCTCTAAGGTGCAGTGAGATTGAAGGCAGCAATTCCAGCCCTGACTGGCTTTAAAGACATGTGACCACAATACCAGCATTCCTTTATCACCCAAATACTGATGACAGATGGAAGCTTCAAAATCAAGCGACTGAGACTGAAGAACGTCTAAATAAGATTAAGTTTGAGGCTTTTGTGAACACATTGTAAAAAAGTCTATCGAATCTTTACAGTTTTATAGAATCAAAAGGAAAACATAAAGCTGTTATTTCTCATTTGCTTACTTTTAGTCCTTGACCGTCTCATACACATGCAGTGAAGTCTAGTTGCTTTTATCCCTTGCTGCCCACACTCATCCCTCCTCCTCTGCAGCTGAATCATTTCTTCCTCCGACAAGTCATCCTACTACCTCCCTGTCTTCTTTCTGTGTGAGTTCCTGAGTTTCGAGCTATTTGCATGAGCACAGGTGGGGGCATATTCACTGGTGAGCTACAAACTGAAAGTAACAGCCCCTTACCCCTTTCTCAGCACCCATTCCCTGATACGAAACCCCATGGAGGTGTGAGAACCTTAAAAATCCCTTTACTGAATCTTGTTCTAAATGCACAAAACTTCATTGATTATTTACATTTTAAAAAATTATATTTTATTTATTATTTTATTTTATGTGTGAGTGTATTGCCTGCATGTATGTAAGTGTATCCATGCCCTGCAAATGCCCACAGAGGTCAGGAAATGGTATCAGATCCCCTGGAACTGGAGTTATGGACAGTTGTTAGCTTCCATGTGGTTACTGGCAATTGAACTTGGGTTCTCAAGAGCAGTCAGCGCTCTTAACTGCTGAGTTGTCTCTTCAATCCCCTGATTATTTATCTTCATAAAAATCTTGATGTTTGCTTAACTTACTGATCTATAGTCAACTTGATAATGTCTTATATCAAGCATTCTCAAGAAGCATAACAACTTGAACACAAAGTTCCGTTACTATAAAATCTATTCTTTGTGCCCTCTTCAGATCATCCTAGCTAGGCCATGACCACGATGATGTCGCTCAAAACCCAAACTACCTGAATGGCTTAAGGTTTGCATTTGAAATCTGGTATCATAAACATTGTCAGAATTGGATACAACCATTTCTTTGTGGAAAGAAAACTAGGACAAATACATTCCATTTGAATTTCCTTGACTTTCCTAACTGAACTTTAAGAGAGAGAGTAAAATGAGAAAAGCTTAACATTCAGGATAGCACAAAACTTATGATGTGACCAGGAGAAATGAGTTGAAGGCACTGGTTCTGCTTTTATTGGAGATATCAAGTCTCTCAGAAACAGTGAAAGACCCACCAATAATACTTACCGCAGGAGTAGGCTTGGGATTGAGAATCCAATAACTTATGAGTCTTATACATTTTTCTTTCCAGACCCAAGAAACTGATTAGCAATGTTATTATGGAAATAATAAATAACTGGGAATATTTGTTTGATGAAAGTCATTATTATTAAATTGCCAGAGGCACCTGCTCTGGTTAGTAAAAGGAAACATCAAGATATATTCTCTGAAGTATTTTAGCAGGTTCATCATTATGATCCACATCAACAGGGCTATTATACTAATGATTCTGCAACCCAACAAGAAATGCTCTCCTACCTCTCTACAGGCATAGGCAATTTGAGAATCTTATATTACATTGATACTGCTGAGATCCAGGCTGTATAGATAAGATAATGTAAAGAAATTTGTGTGCCTACTAAATTTTTTTATTTAATTTGTTCTTTGGTAATTTCATGTGTGTGCAACAGGGCTATTATACTAATGATTCTGCAACCCAACAAGAAATGCTCTCCTACCTCTCTACAGGCATAGGCAATTTGAGAATCTTATATTACATTGATACTGCTGAGATCCAGGCTGTATAGATAAGATAATGTAAAGAAATTTGTGTGCCTACTAAATTTTTTTATTTAATTTGTTCTTTGGTAATTTCATGTGTGTGCAAAGTTCATTCCAGGCAATTTGAGAATCTTATATTACATTGATACAGCTGAGATCCATGCTGTATAGATAAGATAATGTAAAGAAATTTGTGTGTCTACTAAATTTTTTTATTTAATTTGTTCTTTGGTAATTTCATGTGTGTGCAAAGTTCATTCTCATGAATGTAAACCTTCCCTCACCATCTCCTTTCTATATCTATTATACCCTATAAGTCTTCTTCCCACATTCTTGTCCTCACATCCTTCTTCTCTTCACTAACAATTTTTAGACATGGTCTCACTATGCTGCCCAGGTTGGATGCCTGCACCACACCTTCTCCTTCTCTCTCTCTTTCTTTCCTTCCTTCCTTCCTTCCTCTCCCTCTCTTTCTCTTCTCTTTCTCTCTTTCTTTCTTTCTTTCTTTCTTTCCTTCCTTCCTTCCTTCCTTCCTTCCTTCCTTTCTCTCCCTTTCTTTCTCTTCTCTTTCTCTCTCTCTTTCTTTCCTTCCTTCCTTCCTCTCCCTTTCTTTCTCTTCTCTTTCTCTCTCTCTTTCTTTCTTTCCTTCCTTCCTTCCTTCCTTCCTTCCTTCCTTCCCTTTCATCACTGTGGTTTTCTAATACGTTTTATTTTTCTCCTAACATTGTCAATCTGAGATAGCTTTCCTAACATTTCTGGAAAACTCAACTAATTTACGCGTTGGAGTTAAACTGAAGGCTGGCAATAGAACTGCTTGTGGTTTGTTGCTTGAGCACTGATAGTGATCATTTCCTGTAATTAAGTTTTCTGTGGTGGTATTTTGGGGTGTTGATTTACATCAAAAATTCTCACATTCGCTGCCCTGGAAATTTGCTTTTTTATTTGCTGGTTGCTCTACATAGGCCCCTCCAGGCAAAGCCCAGGTCCTCAGAATTTATAAACAAAGCTCTTGCAATGAGGACTAAACTGCTTCAGTCAGGCAGAGGCAGCAAGATGGTGTCAGAGACCCAAGTCCTCATGTCTCTGCTGCTCTGGGTGTCTGGTAAGAAATTTAAAGTATTACAGTCTTTTCAGAATCGCAGCTTTGTATATAAGAACCACAGTTCATAGCAGTGTATAATGTTACTTAAAAACTAATATACCAATAATATAGTGTAACAAGACCATTTAAACGACAGCTTAATTATTTATATTGTAAAGTCTGATCTTTGATATAATGTATGATCATTGTATATTACTGATTGCAGGTACCTGTGGGGAGATTGTGATGACCAAGTCTCCAGCTCCCCTGGATGTGTCAGCAGTAGAGAGATACACCATGAGCTGCAAGTCCAGCCAAAGTCTTTATTATAGCTCAAACCAGAAGAACTTCTTGGCCTGGTATCAGAAGAATCCAGGGCAGGCTCCGAAGCTGCTGAGGTACTGGGCATCCACACATCAGACTTGGGTCCCTGATTGCTTCATAGGCCGTGGGTCTGGGAAAGATTTAGCTCTCACCATCAGCAGTGTCCAGGATGAAGACCTCGCACATTATTACTGTCAGCAGGATTATGAGGATACTCCAACAATGCTTCACACTCCAACACAAACCCCTCAGGATTTCACCAGCTGCTCGCACCTCACAAAACCCCAGACTTGCATACTTCATCAGCCAAAGAGCTAGGATGTCTCTCACGGAAGAGAAATTTTTAAGAGTTCAGCAAAAACGAATGAGTTCAACATTTCTTAGGTCTTTTTGTATGGATTTTTTTTAATATAAAATTTCAGAAGGCCTAGGTATTTTATTTTTCTAATTCTTATGCAATAATTTACCATAAAATTTGTTGCTTGAACACAAAAATTATTCTTTTTAAAATGATGGAATTCAGAAAGAGATTTAGGACTTCATGGACAGAAGGGAAGATGGTGACTCTTCCTCAAATATAACCCATGTTTTTATTTATGGATTTTTTGTATTTCATACAGAACATCCCAAATAATCTTATTCATCTATATACCCACATCCCAAGTGGCACTCTCACATAGCTCCCCTACCCACTGGAGCCCATATACTCTGTCATCCCTGTTACTATCCACTGCGTTGTCAGTGCCCCCAGCCATTCCCCAGTGCTTGTCCCACCTGCTGAGTCTAGTCAGCCTATCTAGAGTTCCTTGTTTTAGGAAGGTCAACTCTTCCTCATCTAGCAGCAAGTAGTTGCCAATATTCTTTTAGCACTCTCACATAGCTCCCCTACCCACTGGAGCCCATATACTCTGTCATCCCTGTTACTATCCACTGCGTTGTCAGTGCCCCCAGCCATTCCCCAGTGCTTGTCCCACCTGCTGAGTCTAGTCAGCCTATCTAGAGTTCCTTGTTTTAGGAAGGTCAACTCTTCCTCATCTAGCAGCAAGTAGTTGCCAATATTCTTTTAGATAAAATTGGGGTCTGCTGTTCATTTTCCCAATTCTAGGCTCACTTACTGTCTGGGGGTCTCTTGGGCCACCCTGGCCAACAACTCAAAGGAAGATATCTCCTGCTTGGTATTGCTTCTTGTCATGTAGCCTTTAGCTATACACATGGACTCTTTAAAAAAATTATATTGATCCCTTTACTCTTTGGCTATACTTTCCGTTTGGGTGTTTAAGACAGTGCAGTTGGCCCAGAAAAACCAATTTACCTCTTAAGGTCATTTGAGGATCTGTTCCTCAGGGTCAGATGGGCTTGGGAGGAGCCCCTGGCCTCTTTCTTTTACCAGTTCCATCTATGTGAAGATAAGTCAAAGGTCCTGTTCGACCATGGCTGGCTTCACTTGAAACTACGGAGGAGGAAATATTTCCTCTGTGTTGACCTTCCTCTTTGTAGACTGGACACTGTTTCAAGTCCATCTGGTGGGGTCTCCATGACATCCTTGATCAAGAGGACAGATGACTTACCACAGTTACAGGATATTTTGAGAGATGCTCCATAGTCCCCTGGAACTTAGTCAACCTTGGAGGACAAGGGGCAAAACTGTCTTTTAAGTCCCTCTGAACACATTAGTATAGGCCTCAAACTATGGCTGTTGAACATCCGATAAGGATTGTTCCACTAGCCTGGTAATTTTAATTATCATGCGCTATGTAGATAAGGCTTGGGTGAAAAACCAAATACTCTCAGATAAACCTTGACTAGATATATATTTTGTTCCTTAAACTAGTTGACTAAACTACGACCATAGAAAATTTAAGATTATGTGTTTATTATTTTTGTCTCATCCTTTATATATCATAACAGAACTACACAGACCTTCATCGCTTG